TCTATGCATGCAGATTAAAAAAAATAGACTTTATTATTAAAATATTGATTTTACCAATATTTAGGTTCGTTCAAGTGTTTAAACTATAGCCCAAATTGTGATCTTCGCCAACGGGCCAGCGGAATATTCTTTGCTGCTTCTTATTTTTAACTATTTAGGGCTGTACTATTACTATTATTATTAATATTTATTCTTTAACCCTTTTACGACGTTCTGAAAGACGTCAGAAGATTAAATGAATTCGCTTTCTAGGCATCAACATTTTCAGATTCTCTTACGTAAAATAAATAAATAAATAAAAATATATAAATAAAATTCATAATATATAGTTTCATTTTATTTTTAAGAATGAATTAATTTAACCCAATGCAGCTCTTTTGTTGAAAGAAGGATCTAAACGTAAGTCTCATTATTGAACGAAGTATAATATTTTACAAATTTAATTTTGTAAACAGTAAATATCAATAAAACATTTTTATGCTCATTCATGAAACGGGACCGTTTCATTTTTCATATATTATATTCATGATCCTGGATAATGAATACATTATCATTACTGTACTATTATTAACTTCATATTAAGTATTCAATACTATTATAGCAACTCTGAAAAATAATACGGGCAATGCATATTTCACATTCTCTCGATGAGCTTAAATTATCGCTTTTTTAGTTAGATGAGCTTAAATTATCGCTTTAAAAGTTTTATAACAATTTTCATACGTGTTGATTTCGAAATCGAATGAGAAATAAACTGAATTTATTTTATCTGGTCAGTAACTGGCATTTAAACTGCAAAGTGTATTATAGAAATATTCAAAATGTCTCGTGCTCCTTTTACAGAATGGGAATAAATGCAACGATACCATACAGGTAAATTGTTTAACGAAAATCGAAACTGAACAAAATATCAGAGTTTTTCTCTCTTATTGTCCTTAAACATCACCTCCTCGTCTGCAATTATTTTCGCAACAGTTGGGCATAGACATACTCTTATAGTTACAAAAATGTTGTAAATTATGCAAATATCCATGTTTTGGCATTTCTAAATTTCTAAAATATTTTCATAAAAATTACGAAATCTAACGTTTCGTACGGTCACTCAGTCCCTAAAATAAAAATTAAAAAAAAAATCTGATGTGGACATCACATGATCTCCTTGTACCGACCTGTTGAATTATACACGTGTTTTGCTGCACTTCATTTAAACTTATTTCCTCAAATTATGTTACTTAACGATCCCTCAAGGCAAGTGGAAAATGACATGAAAAACTGCAAATTTTGAAATCAAATATCCCGCCCAATTTTTGTCGTATGGGAGTCAAACTTCTTCTAATATTTTTATTTTTTTATAACGAGCATAAAACTTTCCCAAATATAAGTATATAGGAACCGGGACACCGCATCAAAAATTAGACTTCGTTATTTGTCGAAAGTTAATTTTTTTTTTTTTTTTCATTTGAAATTGTTAAAGCATCAATATTTTCGTCACTTCTGTAATCAGAAGCATGTGTCTATAATCAACGATTGCGAAAATAAAGGCCGGGTAAGAATTTTCAAGGTTTGGGTAAGGGGTTTAACAGGTTATCCCTGGGGTTTAAGGGCTAAGAAGTTTAAGGGGTTTGGGTAAGAATTTTTTTAAGACGGCTAAGAGACGTATTTACAGTGATCACAAGTCTCGTTTCCTCCTAAGTATTACATAGATATTAATGAATTGTTGTTTCGTATAGTTACAAGTGCTTATATACATCTAAATCATGTCCGATAAGTCACGTACACCATGGAGGAACAGATGGTAATGAACATGTAAGCTCGCAAACGGTTCCATATGGAAAATTCAATGGGAGATATTCAGCATGATTTCACTGTGAAATTTAAAAAACCTTCCTTTCGAAAACCAGCAATTTTACGATGGAAGAAAAAAATCTTTGCAACTAGTTGCATAAAAGATAAGCCCCGCTCAGGACCGCCACTAACACGACTGGAAACATAAACATTCGCCAAAAGAGTTTATTTGTAAGCGGTCACAGGAATTAGGTGTTCCATATTCGATGCTACAAAAAGATATGACGAAGGATTTGCAGGTATTTAAACCTCCGTTTGTAAACGAATTGAGTAACAGTGACATGCAAAAACGTCAGCAGGCTTGTGGGCGAATACTTGATGTCTTTACAATTCTTCCCTGAAGGGGGAAAGTGTTTTTCCCGGACGAGTGTGTAATATAAGTGCAAAAACCAGAAACATTTAATTCCATATCTGCAAGATCGTGGACTGTTCGATCATGCACGGTTCTAGCAGGGCTGAGCACCAGTCTATTATGTTACTGCCATTAGATAATACCTCAGTGAGGTATTCTCTGATATAGGGATTGGACAGGGCTCTGTCCATTTGCCTGCTCCTTTGGAGAGGCCATCTCGAAGTCTTGATCTGATATCTTGCAGCAATGTATCATGGGTATTTATCAAACAAAAGCTGCTGCCACACGAGACAATTGATGAACTTAAGGATGCTGAGCGATGGCCATTTGCTGCCATCATGCTAACAGTGTTGAGGAGAATTTCACATAGTACATGGAGGAGAATCATACTCTGTTATGAAAACGATGGTCTACACACAGACTCTCTGGAATAAATAGTAAAGAATAGTCACACTACCTCAAAGTTGTCTACTGCCATGATCCCACATTAATACAATAAGACCATCTATGAATATGTGGACAGGCAACGGCACTTTGTGGTTACCTGTATATATACGTTGGTATTGCCGATTGTAATAAAAAAGGAATAAGGAATACACAGGACTAGATGTTATGGCACTCACATACAAAATTTCAACGTTCTACGACTCATAATTTTTCAGTTATGCGAGATAGATATACAGGTAGGTACGTACGAAATTTAAAAAAAAAAAAAAAAAAATTAAATCCATTTTAAATTTATTTTACAGTCCGCTTTGCGACAAAAGAACCCTTCATTCTGTCCATGCCTTTACACTTTACACAAAAAATAGTCAAAATGGAATCGGGAACGGTCAAAATGGGTATTGAATATACACCTAGACTAAGATGGCAACCCTCTATATCATATCTAAATTTAAAAAGCGAAAAAATATGTAATGTAACTCTGTAAAAATATTGATTGTTTTTAATTATATATATCATAAATTCAATGCATTTTTTATTTAAATTAGTCCGATTCAAAAGTAAAAAAAAAGTACTATTTTTAAGACCTGCATCTATTGCTATTCAATTTGTTAAGTAATAATAGACAGATTATATTGTAAGATCTAACTCTTTTAGCTATCAAGCAAATATACGATCTTAGTAATAAGCCAGACGACTTCTCGCACAGGCGTGAAGAAACAGCACACAGGGAAAGGGTTTAAATTGCCTTTTTATTTGATTAAACTCTAAGAAAAATGCACATTCTTCGTGCTCGCAATAACACCGACTTCTTGCGGTGGGGACTTGAGAATAATTTAACAATAATTTTAAGTAGCAAAGAGTAGTGTTGGACTATTTAAAAGTAACAGACTGACAAGAAACCTACACCGGCGATAGACTTTAATAAACGGTCAGAAGGCGTATCGGCAACGAAAATTAACAGCAGGAAGGCCAGAATAGCTGTGTGGTCTGTGCTGGCGAAATCGCGATTTGTCTCACTTTCGCGTTTTCGCCTGTTTAAATACTCTTCTTTAACTTAATCTGCATTTTGGCGAGGAAATGAGGAGTTCAACAAAGATAACAGACATTAAAATAATTGGTTATTCAGACTAAGGGAAGCCCTACAAAATGTGAAAGAAAAATAACTTACGTTTTTCTGAATTGCAATAGACTCGAGTGGAAAGTGAAACGATGCGTTGAAACAATCAAACCAAAATCGCGTTTCGAGACTAATAGAATTTTTGGGCTGAAAATTATAAAATCGGGCTACGCGTCTGAATTGTAAATAATTTACATGATTTTCGATATCATTTATTTGACTGTGGCCAATTGAGCAAAAACAGTATCGATGGACAATTTCTATAGATGTAATCACAAAACGCGAATAAGCACAGTATACAAACACAGTATACAAATTTCCCAGTGCTCTCTCAATGCTCGGAGTTAAACTCAATTCTAAACTGAACTAACAACTGATGCTAGCCCTGCTCTTACATAGCCTTCGTGCGGCCGCCGAAAAGTTTGCAGTACCTTCAACTTCTCGAAACTGCTGGAAGGCATACACAATTACAATTACATTTTTTAAAGGGCCGGATACACTTGCAGTTCCATATAGGGATCTGACCAAAGTGTCGCCAAATAATCACCATGTTTGGCGAGTTTTGGCTATTTCTCGCCAAATTTGGTCACAAAAATTAATCGCCAAAACCATCACCAGCTTGGCGTTTGCTGAAATAGCCATTGACCTCAATGTTAAATGGACTTGCTTCTGTAGCCTTATTTTTCCGGCAAAGCTTCACTCTATTGAGGCCTTTCATGTTGTTACATTATACAAGAGATACTACAATTCTACATATAGTTTTACTAAAATTATTTACATACACTAGAATTGGCAACAGTATATTCAATTATACAGAAAAATCTCTTAGGCGGTCCAGTTGCAGCCGATAACATTTTGGGACTATTTACAGAACCTGAAGAATGAAGTGTAGTTTGTGTATTAAGGGGTAGCGATGGCTTTTTGCTATCCCGTGCATTTTCTGCTAATCCAAAGTTCTACTGTCCAGTGTCTTTCTAGATTCTAAAAATTTGCCATCCCTAAATTTTTTAAAATTATCTAAAGCTTTTGTCGCCCTAAATTCGGATACCCGGTGTCTCCATAAATTCTAAAATTCTGATGCTCCGTGCTTCTCTAAATTCTAAAAATTTTGCCGCCCCTAAATTCTGCCTCTGCTGTTATGCCTGTTGCGTGCTAGCCCTACGCATGGATGAGTTTTTTTTAATAATAAGCTTAATATTAATCAATACCATAGCTTAAAATCTACGAATTCCAACTCACCAGTCTCAAAAGACTTGTATGCGATGATTTTCCCTGTCACAGACAATGATACTTCCTCCGCTGGTGACGGCAAGACCTTCTAGTCCTTTGAATTCGCCATCTCCTGCGCCCCAAGTACCGAAGCATCGCAGAAACGTGCCATCTGGCTGGAATATTTGGATCCGGTTGTTGCCACTGTCACCGACAATGATGAACCCTTGGTCATCGACGGCGATGCCTCTCGGGAATTTGAACTGGCCTTCCTCTGACCCCTCGGATCCAAAGGTGGTCAAGCTCCGGCCATTGACATCGAAGATCTGGACCCGGTGATTGTTGGTATCTGTGACCACGACCCGATTCGTGTTGGTGACAGCGATATAATGAGGGTGCTCGAGTTGGCCTGGACGACTGCCCATGCCACCGAACTTGCCTACGAAGGTGCCATCTGATTGGAACACCTGCAATAAAGAAAGCAGCAAAGAACATGATTAATGTGGTGAATTAAATAAGATTCGAGAATAATATTTTCATAAAAACTTTTTAAAAAGGAAACTTCCTCGTGTATTTTAGCACGTGGACAAAACATTCAGGAACACCATCTAATTAAGTTTTTCTGTCTGACGTAAACATAAAATGGAACTACAGAGGGTGTTTACACAATTTTAGAACGATTTCGAGGCCGTTTATCAGAAGCGCTTAAAATGCAAAGAACACTTTTTAAAATCTTTGATATGTTAGTCTATTTCTGGACAATAAATTTGCATTGTGATTTCCATGAAAGAAGGGCTTTTCGTAAAATTTCCAAAGGTATTCCAGAGGTATCATTCCTCTTTCACCACTGGTTTATCATTTTATTTATCGTTGCTAAAGATGTATTTAAAAACTTTACAACTGATTTCTGCGCCGGCGGATTTTCTCTTGTTATCAACAATTTAATTTCAGAAACATTAGTAGCAGTACGCACGTTTTTGGGGTACTCGTTTGGAGTCTTCTTTCCATGCAGAAGTAATGACTGACGACTTTTCACTTTCCAATAAATAATGTTGTTTACCATGGCCTTAGAAATTTTAATATCAACGTTTTTGAACTATGAAATAGGAATATTTCTCTTCAGAAAGCGCGAAAACACATCTTAAAACCCACCGCTTGTTTAAATGCGACATTTTGAATTAAGAACAAACTTAAAAGTAGCAGTAAAGGTACATTGCTATTCCAAAATATATTGTTACGAAATGTCCAGGCGCGGTAAGATGGCTTTCCCGCAAAACAGTTTTAGGGCTCCCACATTTGGCGAGAAATCGCCCATTTGGCGATATTTGGCGAAAAAATTGGCGATATATCATGGATGGATGGAGAACCTTCTGGAACGAATTCTTACCGGTTTAGCCCAGAATGTTCTCGATCACAAGCCGAAAGCTATATAAACCCTGCTGGTTCGCAGTCAGAGTGTGCCTCTCGAGAGGGCGAGTGAGTGCCTCACATAGTGCGAGATAGTTAGTCTCGAGTTAGTCAGTCCGTGCGAAGTCGATCGAGTTGACTGGCGGGCAGTGAGTGCCGAGTGGGTCGTCGAGTGCATAGAGTCTCTTAGTGTATCGCGGTTAGTGCATCGTCGGTAGAGTGCGTTAAGCTCCGGGAACGACTGAACAGAAGAGTCGGGAGCTGTGCTTTGTGTGTCGTCGAGTGCATCGAGAATTGCAGCGTGGAGAGTCTCGAGAGTACGTGGAGTTTCGAGAACAACCGAGTAGAGTTGAGAGCTGTACTCTGGTGCTTTGCAGTGAAGCTGTCTCGACTGTTATAGCCTGATAGTGTGAAGGCTGTGTCGCTGAGTTTCAGCGTGTTTACAGTAAATCTTCGACGACTGTAAAAAGTGATTTTGGAGCTGTCCTGATTAGTATTGGCTAAATAAAGTGTGTTTCGATAATTCATCAAGTGTCGTCGTTATTCACTCCAAATCTACGAACCCCGTACGAAACTTAGGGAAGAAAATAACGTAACAACTGGTGTCAGAAAAAAACGTAACAATATTTTTAAAAATTCTTTACCAAATTCGTTTTAAAATGTTTAAACACCCTGAGCATAAAGTCCTGCATTTATTGCTAAATCTCAAATATGAACTTCCGACTTCCAATATTTGCTTTTAAACTAAATTTCTTAGTCTGTTTTTATAAGCCTTGTTTGAAACAACAGCTTGATAATTGGTAGATTAAGTTGCTAATTAAAGTAATGTATTCGAAAATATTATCAGCCAAAGGTAGGCTTCTTTTACAAAACTGTGTGTGTGTGTGATTATGGCAAAGCCCTCGAGGGCTATCTGCTTAAGAGGAGGGATGCCTTCGTGGAGGACTTTCTAAGGGAAACTGGCTCGTATATACGTTACACATGGGGAAACCACGAAAACGCCCATGCAGCCAGCCCGTTCGCGGGATTCGAACCTCGGACCGAACTACCAGTGTTCAGCGACTTTACCGCTCGGCCGCTGGTGGGCTCTTTTACAAAACGCTTTTCGACAAAAACTGGCTCTTACTCATACTGCATTTAGAGGAAAGCTCAAAATTCTCAAGGAAACTTCATGGAACCGTTGAAAATGCACTGAAGTCTGAATTACATTTCAAGCTAACACCAAAGAATCGCAGATTTATTCTATGAAAAATCAAACAACAGCAAAAATTATTGTTGTATATCTTTCAGCAGATTTAAAAGACTGGTTTTCAATAAGAATTAGTCTGAAGCTTTTAAAACAGTCATTTAGAACTTACGCATACAGTGGACTATCAACAATTTTGTCAAGAAGAAAAATATGCCTAGCGTCCTCAAAATCTATAGTAAGCAAAGTTTTGGTATATTGGAACAATGTTATATTTGCAGTAAATTCAAAATTTAATATATTTAGGTCAAACTGACGAATTAATGTATGGCAAAAGTCGAATTAAGAATAAGAATTGCATTCGAGAAACCTAGTACTGTTACGAACGGCGGTATATAGTAGCGTGAGGATGCGTCACTGCCTTTGGAATAAGAAGTTTTGTTTTTATCCAGAATAATACGTATTGGTATGAATATGTAAGTACTCTGATCTGAGAAAACACTTGGAATGCAAAATATATTCAAGTTCTATCAAGATAATGTTCATAAACATATAGTCTTAAATAAGTTTTAGGTTATTATACAGTGTCCTGAAATTTAAAAACTTATCCATATTCCCAGTTCAAGCGAAAAGCATTCGCAATTATCGGGTACCCGCCTAAAGTCGCTAAGCCGGTATAACAGCGTTAACGATTTTCTAATACATGTGAGTTTCGAATAAGTAGCAGATGGGGAAGATGAGTAAGATGATAATGAAGCAATTGATTAGGTCATATCATAATTTCAAGGTTGAAAAGTGAAACCAATTCGTCCTAACTTCTTCAAGTGAAGACAATATAAAACCGACAGAGACTCCTAACTGCCACTAGTCAAATCTGCATAGGCAAATTTGGGAGCGTCAATGTAATGGAGTGTGCGATCAACCATTGCCAAGCAGAGTTTTAAAAAGGAAATGCCAGTGATTGTAAAAAACAAATTTCTTACAATAACTTCGAAAATTTGTACAGTAAAAAACCTGTATATGTAAATACATAATAGAAGCAAAAGCAAAAACAAAAACAAAAGCAAAAGCAATGGGAGAGGGGTAGGTATAACACGCATATTAGATATAATAACAATAATCCATATTCTTCGGACTTAATCCTGTACAGCATGTATGAAGTGAGTTGGAGAAAAGAATAAGAAGCATGATATTCCTGCGGAAGTTCTACTAAAAGCAATTTTTATGTACGAATGGAATAAAATGGAGCATCCTTACACGAATATGCCAAAGTGCATGAATGTAAATTTAGCGAAAGGATATTTAAAGAAATATTGAATGACCCGTTACTTTAATGTTTTTATTAAAAATTATATTCGTTCAAAGTGTTCGAATACTTATGTGAGTTCATTTTCAAAAATTTTTGAATAACCTTATTATTATATTTTATAATACTAAAAACATTTTGAATATCTTCTTTCAAAACAACCAGTTTTCACATTAGATTATCATTAGTATATGTGAAAAAATAATAAAATCATTTTACTAATCTTTAGTAATTGTTTTTTGCAAATAAAACTGAAAAACACAATTCTCCAAAAATAAATGTGAGTCACTGTTTTTGTTCGTTAACGAAAGAGGGATTTGTGACAGATTTTCGGGAGATTTATGGAAAGTTACGTTTATGTAATAATTATGTGAAGCTGCTTATTTTCAAGCTCCGAAAACCAAAGCTGAGGTTATTAAAAATTTAAACTCTTGTTTTCATATTTACGTATTTACTTAAGACAACTCTGATATAGTTAGGTAACTATGTCTGTAGTGGTAGTATCCTAAGCAACAGTGAATTAGCAGTTTTAGAGATGAAATGTTTGTAATCAAGCCATTATTACCTACACATAAGTTACGAAATGTAAGAAACGTTTCTAAAACTATGTTAAAGAAGTTAGGAAACTTTTTATTATTCTTACCTAGTGTTTTCAAGAACCACTAAGCTACGCATTTAAGTTTTAAAGAAGAAAAGAATCTAAGAAGTTGAGTAAAAGTAATGTTTCACAGTGACTCGCAATATTTTTCGGATACTGAAATTTGGAATTTTCTTTGGATCTTGCACTACGAGTCAATATTAAAACGTAGACATTGTTTTCTCTTTTAAACCTTTCTTGTTGTAAAATAAATATTCCTTGCAATAAAATAGTTTGTTTAAAAATGTTAATCAGTAACTCACATAACAAATCTAACTCTCCAAATTTTTGTTGAAATATTTCGGTAGATAATGTTTCTTGTTAGTCCAAAGGGATTTCAGTCCCGAAGGACTATTGCTTTCGTTTTGGCATTTTGCGTCGGACTCATAAACGTCGGTTCACTTTTCAAACTGTTGCCACAAAATGTTAGAGTCCTGCATTATATTTGAAGAAATTAAATAATGAAAAATCTGCATAAATGATTGTCTATTTCTCGCATTGTGATAAAACAATGGTACATAGAGCCATCGAATTTTGAATGACGAAATCCTACTGCGAATATGGGCATCTGAAATCCCAAATTTGGAATTTGTTTATTATAGATTTTATATTTTGTAAAACTTTAACGAATTTTTGATTTACAAACTCAATGCTTTAAAAGCGAGAAATGGCAACGTTTATATAGAAAAAAAATACTTTTATCTCCAGCTCGCGAGACTGTGTATATCGGAAATTCTAAAGATATGCTTAATTTAACATTATTTTGCGATATTGCTCTTGAACTGAATTTTATGGTTTAAGTGCAAAGAACATGATATTTAATAAATAAAGGTAACACTCAAAACGTTAAAAAAACGCCCCTTTGGACGTAATTTAAAATCTGAAAATTTTCAGATTTTTTTTATTTTTTTTTTTATTATTATTATTTTTT